ATGGAATTTTTTTTTTTTAAGAATCAAAATAATAATGTATGTGCACATGCTCCAAACACACACACACACACACATACATTGTAAAAATCCAACATTCATCTGTGTATGTATCATTCATGAATATGATGTGACTGAACAATCAATCAGTTCAGTTCAGTTCAGTCATAATAATAATCATCATCATCATAAAGGGAGAAATAATAAAAAAAAAAAAAACAAAACAAAACAACAACAACAACAACAAAAAATCTCCACACATTATACACATTGGTATAATTCTCTTTGTTGTTGAAGTAACAAATATACGCACAAACAACAAGTAATACACACACAAGGCATCTCCTCTCTGTCTCTTTCACTCTATCTCTATATATATTTCTCATTTAATAATTTTTATTTTTTGCCCATTTTTAAATCATTATTTTGCCCATTTTTTATTTCAGAGAAGCACATAGACACAATGGAGAAAAAAAAAGTTATACATGTGTGTGTGTGAACATTCAAATAAATATATTTCAACAAAAAGCGCGCATTTTATACATATGGCTTTAAAAAAAAACAAACTTTCACTTTTACTAAATCTCATATATAGATAGATAGTGTATCGGTATGTTTCATTCATTCATTCAATTGATTTGAAAATTAAATTTTTAAATTTTTTTACGACGCCTTTCTTTTTTTGTTTTGTTTTTAATCAACGAACAATCATCAGATCCATTCATCTATCTTTGTTGTTGTTGTTGTTGTGCCATTCATTCATTCATTCATTTAGATAGACATTGAAAATTAAATGTGACAAATGAATGGAAAAAAAAACTAAATGATTATCGTATGATGACAGACAGACAGACAAGACAAGACGTTGACGGCAACAACAATAACAACAACAACAAAACGGTAATTGACTTGTTGTTGTTACGCATACACATAATTCAGGCAATTCTTTACTTCCCTTTCAGGCATTATCATCATTTCATTCCTAGTATTTTGTGTATTAAAAAAAACATGAAATGCAATTTTTTTCAAGTTATAATTTAATTGAAAACAATCAAAGGTAGAGCCAAATGTATGTAAAAGTCAACAAACGAACAGAAAAATATGACATAAAACAATAAAAAAAATGTGGAAATGAAAAAACAAAACAAAAAAAAAGACAAAAAAAATCGAGATCAAAATCAATCAATCCAGAAAGAGCGAAAACAAAACAAACAAACAAACAAAATGAATACAATGGAGACATTGATTATAATTCACTTGAAATGATGGGATCGAACAAACATTGAAAACAAACACACACACACACAAAAATGTGTACGATGAACAGGAACAAGAGCAAAAAAGGAATGAAATTAGATTTACGATATACCTGTGTGTGTGTGTGTGTGTGCTACCAGATACTCGATACAATAATCGTAATCGATAAAATGTTGGTAATTCTCAACAATAGAATACATACTCTAACGCAATGTGGTTATTGGCCTCATTCATTCATTCATTCATTCAATCATGGCCAATGTTTTTTCATTGCTTCCTGCTACTGTAGCCAATTGCCAATCATCATAAACATCATTCACATCATCATCATAAACAATATAAACAAACAATCATTCAATGAATCAATTGTATGCCAGCGAAAAAAAAACGCAAAACAATATAATAAATGTTATTTTCTCATTTCTGGATCACAAATCTGTTTGAAAAAATGTGTAAAAAATGCACAGTATGGCGCCCAATAATAATAATAAATAACAACCAGATTTATAATGACATGAAAAATATTTCAATTTCAAAGAAGAAAAAACCGATTCATCAAGATCGAATAGCAAAAAAAAAAGAATGGATTCGGTTATTCATCTTTCTCACTCTCTCTCTTTCTCGCTCACTTTCTCTACATGTCTTCATCAATGTCGACATGCATGCAAATGAATTGAAATGAAAGAATTGGCTGTCAAATGATTCTAAATTTACCCAAACAATCATAGACAGACACACACACACACAGAAACAGCAAGAGCAAGGGGAAAAGAAACCGCTTCCGCATGTATGTAAGTTTCAATTTGGAAAAATGAACTTTCATAGTGATAACAAGCTCAAGAGGTGGTAAAATTTTTTCTCCTTCTTTTTCATTTTTAACATCTCAAACAGCGACAATAATATTTGCAACAGCAAACAGGGAAAAAAAATTGACAAAACCCAAAACTTCAAAAGAATGAAAATTTATATAAAAAAAAATGGCCGTAAAATTGAAAATGAAAGTGGAATGGACTACATACATACAGCTGATGAATATAAATGATGTATGTATACATCGTAAATAATTTTATTTTTATTACTCACATAATATAAAGTAGATCGTAAATTGTATTATTTCATTGCATTTGGTTATTATTTCATCTATTTATCTATCTATTTGTATGTCTGTCGTATGTCAATCAGTTAGTTAGTTAGTTAGTTAGTTAGTCGTTTATCGAGAGACTAGAAATAGATTTTTGTTCCTGTTTTTATTATCGTTTTGGTGACATATTATCGTCATGCACAATGTGATGAATTTTTATTTTCAATTTCATCATGACAAAAAAAAGACGACAACAACAACAACAACGATAATGACAATTATATAATGGTAATCCATCAAATTTAGTAGTTTAAGATTAAAGAATTAATCATTTATAATAATAATTTTTGCTTTTCATCTTAAAAATGTGAGAAACTTGTCAGAATTTTCGGGGTAATCATACACCGACACAAACAATGAGGTTGATCAAAATATTTCTTTTTATATATATATATATAAATCATCGAAAAACATTACATTTACAATGTAAGTATTGAAAATTTTACAAAGTATCGGGATCTTTTTTTTCCACTGTCTTTGTAAACATAATGTTGTGATGATTTCTATGATGTAAACCTTTTAGCCTATATATATATAAAAAAAAACATCATTAGCAAATTATATGTTCAACAAGTAGAATGAATGCAAATGAACAAGTGTAATCAGAGTGTGTAGATTAATCATTCAAACATATATATAGGAAACGAATATTTAAATCATCTTGATAATGATGATGATGATGATTATAAACGAACAAATCCATTTGATGATTTATTTATGTCATTGATCTTTATGAAAATAAAACCATTGATGAAATATTAATAATCAATTGGTTGAAAAATAAAAAAGGAAAAAAATCAGACCTAAATATTAATGAAATGATGAAATTCAAGGTAATTTGATGGATCAATTATCATCATTCAATAAAGCACAGATGTAGATGGCCCGCACACATTGATTTTGTTGTTGTTGCTTTCATTATAGTTTTTTTTTATTTTGAAAAAAAGGTGTGATCACGCTTGATGACACAAAAAAAAATTTTTTATCAAAGGCAAGTTTTTTTATTGTTTCTCGTTCAACAACAATATTCAGTTAATATAATGACAATATGTGAATTGAAATTGAAATCAGAGGCAAAAATGAAAAATTCCAATGAATAAATATGGTATTTACAATTCATTTTATTCAAAATTGACCATGTTCCAAATAAAAATAAACATTGAAACATCAGATGAAAAAAAAAATTTTTTTAATGATTTTCAATTGTATACAACTTTCACAACAACAACAACAACAATATTATCATAACGTTTTTTTTCAGGAAAAAAAATCCGACCGATACAATCGAAAAAAAAAAAGGTGTGCATCCATTATATTACATTGTCGACATAGAGACAATATGTATATAATGGCAAAAAAAAATATATATTGGTCAGGTGCGAACTTTGAAATAATTGTTGTTATATGCAAATAGGGACAAACAAACAAACAAACAAACACGTAGTTCAATAGATTCAGGTCTCCATTACTCCTATTTATTTTTCATTCACATATGATTTCGACATTTGACCTAGGAAATGGTTTAAATTTCAATCATTTTTAATCTTAAGAATGAATGTAACCTTGACGATTATCAATAACCAATATAAATATATTCTTATTTATTGTTGTGAAAAAAAAAACTAACAAAAGTTATTTATATAGGATTAATAAAATAAAATTTCCAATGAAAACGGATTCACCACCCATTTTATCCTTTCAGTTTATGATAATAATGTGTGTGTGTAGGTATATCAAACAACAGGTGTTCAATCCAATGTTTTTTGGTTTCCGAATATCGCAGCAACAATACAAACACATAGAAATTGCAATCACTTGAAAAAAAGAATTTTTGAAATGTAATGAACAACAAAAATGAAAGGGGGGATTAATGTCACAAAAAAACGCATAGAAATGAAAGCATCTAATAAAAAAAAATTTTTTTCAATACAATAACGTCATTGATTTCCATATTTAGTCAATCGCTCAATATATAACTAAATTACAATGTAATGTGGTCTTTTTAGAATCAGAAGAGAAGGAAAAAAAACCTGAATTCATCGATCAAACAACAATATATGATGATAATGATGGGTGATGTCAATTGAAATCAATTACAAATTGATTGGAAATGAAATAAATTTCATTCATTCATATACAACACACATATATCACACAATGTCATCCGAGTAACAAAAAAAAAAATTATCGAATGATGACTGATCATTTTTTTGTGTGTTTGGTATACATAAAATGCTAATAATAAATAATCGACTCATGACTTATTTCAGATCTCAAGATCCTGGATCCTATTATTACATGTATGAGTCAAAACAAAAAAAAAAATCTCTTCCTTTCACTTCAAGTGTGAAATTTTTGATAAAAAATAAAAGCTAAATTGAATAGGTTTACATTATTATGTGATTAGATAGATTGAAACTATAGCGACAAAACATCATTGATGATGATGATGATAATAATAATGGCAGTTGATGACTACGTGTCATGTAGAATTTTGTTTCTTCCATTGTATTGCATTACATGTATTGTTGCATTTTTTTAAATGTACGTGTGTGAATAGGATCTGTCTAATGTAATCTAAGCTTACGACATACACACACACACACACATCGACATATCCATAAAATCGATCACAAAAAAAAGTGATTTGATCGATCAAAAAGAAAAAAAATTTCAAACAAAAAGCCATCACACACAATCAAATAGATTTCAATCAGTGAAAGTCGCCCATCATCATCATCATAGCCTGTACACATTTTATTTTCCCGATTGAATCAAATTATTGAAAATTGACAAAAATGTCAGGTAAGTTTTTCCAAATAAAATTGACCATCATCATCAACAAAATAAAAAAAAAACATACACATTGTGCAACGCACAATCCCTAACAAACACGATGGCCTACTAACTAAAATAATAATAAAATAATAAAAATCTGGCCAAACATTAGTAAACAATATGTTTGTTGAAAAAAATACAAAATAGCCTGTTTCAATTGTTGTGATGATGGTGACAACAGCATCCATGATGGTTTCACCTCTTCTTCTCTAGGACAACCACCGGAACCGGGTCAGCAATCATTTGGTGTACCAATTTATAATCAACCTGGTGGTGATAATCCTCCTGGACCAGCCGGTTATGGTGAACATGCCCATTTCAGTGGACCAAATAACAATGGCAACTATGGTATGGGCGTTGTTCCGCCGAATAATACACCATCGTTTGGCGAACCACAATATCATCGACCAGGTTTAGCCGAACCGACCTATCGAGTACCCGGTGTTGGAATCGGTCTAGGCGCAACAGTGCCAGGAACAGAACCTGGACTAGGAACATACGTTGGTAGTGATTTGCCACCACCTCCAAGCTGTGGTAATTCCGATAACTGAAAATTGTGTGAAAAATGAATGTTTTTTTGTGGTTGAACAATAAAAAATTACCTTTTTTAATTAAATGATTGATCATTCTACCGTATAATAATGTCACCACAATGCCGCCACAAGGCAAACAACGAAAAATAAAAATCAAGGATAATGGATGGCCATTTTTTCATCGTTTATCATGCGTTCATGTTGAACAATTAAAAGCGATTATAATGTCAAGATTTTTATCATGGTGTGTGTAAATCACAGTTTGATTTTATTAGCAAAATTTTCTTTATATTTTATTAATTGAATGACAAACGTAACAACGAACAACAAACCATAAGAATCAAAGTATTATAGGCAACAAAATCCCGTTATTTAGGACACGTTGCATTGATGATATGAAGGAGGACCATAATTTTGTATCGAAAAAATATACAATCGTTTCTCATTTTTATCGCATACAAAAAAAAACAATCTACAGTCAAATTTGCCATCTGGCACTAGTATATATGTCAAACACATTCAAACATCTTGGCATAAATATCAAGATTCTAGTCAACACAAAGCATAAACATTTAAAACAAGTTAAAAGAATTTAGTAAAGTTTGGATATCACCATATCACCAATCAATATCGAATCGTTAGCTATTGACAAATATGCCGGCAAACATTTAGCACCTGGAATATTGATCACCAAAAAAAACAGATGTTGATCAATTCTGGATCATTATAACTTTATATATTAAATTAATTTGAAATTCTCAATTCCTAATGACAGTGCTACCACCTTTATGTTTTGAATGAAAATACTAGAACGAAATCATGGTCCATCAACTAATAACATGATTTTTTTTGTTGGAAAAAAATTAAACCATAAAAAAAACATTTTCTACTCACTTTAATTAGTTGATTTTGATGATTCGAATTGGATTATGTCGAATGTCCAATATGATAGTGATGATAATTAACGGCAACAAACAAATTAGACCGATATGTTGAATTTTGATATTTAATTTTTATAATATAATATATGGATCAAAAGATTCTTATATTTTTCAGCCTAGTTTTTTTCTATCCTAATCGATGAGTATTTTATTTAATGGTTCACTCGATGATGATAATGATTGTTAGTTGTATATGCAATTTGTTGAGGGAGTTTTCTTTGTATGTTTATAACCATAACATTGGCATTTGTTTTATTAAATGAAAAACGTTTGCTTCATCAAATGTATTTCAATTAAACATAGTTCGTGACATATTGGAATGTATACAATCGTTGAAAAATGCTCATGAAATGAATGAAAACTGAACAATCGTATTTACAAAAAGAAAAAAAAATTTCACTTCTTTTGATTATGATGATGATGAATGAATGAAATTTAAAATTTCTTGAAATCAATCAAACATGGAATGTGTTTAGTTTACGAATTAGTTTTTTCTTGCTGAGTGATGAATAGTTTTTTTTTGGTATTATTTCTGCCATAAACAATGGGTAAGATTCTGTTGGTTTATTTATTCAGATCATTCTTTGGGTGGCTTCAGTTTAAAGGTTTTTTCTTGGGCTTCTAATTCATTCGGACAAAAGAAAAACTAATGAAATAAAATTTTCTACTACAAATAAAATTAAATAGAATTTTATACTTCTCTTGGTTGATGATAGATATAATAATAATAATGTGAATTATGGTTACAAGATCAATTATTTTACCAATTTCAATTCTTTTGTATATACACATATAAAACCCCAAAAACAACGTATACAGAAAAATATAGACACGAATACTCGCGAATTCAATACACACACACACAGACAACAAAAACAAAAACAAGGATCGATGATATTATTTGGCAACGACGACGACGACGACGACAACATCAAACGAATTTTTTACGCATGCGGTGTTTAACGTTCTGTTCCATGGAAAAGGATTCAAAATATAAGAATTTGTAGTGTAATATTATATATCATGTATGAATATATTCGATTTTTTTTAAATTATGATTTCCGTTCGAAAAAAAGTGATGAAATTAAATTGATGAATTTTTATTGTTGATGAATATTTTGTTGTATTACAATATATATTATTATTATTTAAGCTTTGATTTGGAATAATTGAATGATAAAAATATCTTTTCCAATGATGGCTGATTAATCGAATAATGTTCAATATTTAAATGTCTTCGTGATTTTTCAATTTTGTCAAACATTTGGCTTAATTTAACATCATTATTATAGATATGATATGTGTATAGATTTTCATAGTTTGATTCAAAACGTGATGCAAAATTTTTTTCCATAAATTTATGCAAAGTAATTTCTTTACAAACATTAATCAATCTGGAACGATTATCCAATGTTTGTTGTGATGATTGTTTTGTATTGATTGCTAATTTTATTTGAACAATAAATCCATTGCCAAATTTACGTTTCAAATGTAATGGACTACCAATACATCGTATACGACCATTCACCATAATAACCAATCGATCACATAATGCTTCACATTCTTCCATCGAATGTGATGTCAACACCAATGATGATCCACCGGAACGAACAAAACGAATAGCATTCCATAGCCCTCGTCGTGATACTGGATCAATTCCGGTTGTTGGCTCATCTAAAAATGTGATTAATGGATTTCCAACAATCGACTAGCAAACAGATAGATCAAATTCGATAAATTATTAATCGAATAAAATTAATAAACTTACAATTGCGAAGCTTAGCTTTCGTTTCGTACCACCACTGTATTCATGAACGACACGATCAATGTGGCTAGTGAATTGAAGCAATTCAGCCATAGCATCGATTTGTTGAGGAATCAGTTCTTCTTTTATACCACGAATTTGACAGATAATCATCAGGGTCTCGCGTCCCGTAAGCTCATTGAGAAGACCATCGAATTGTGGACAATATCCAATGTGTTTGAATACTTTGTCTATTTCTTCTTTAATATTCCACTTGTTGATCCAAATATCACCGCTGGTCAATTTTGATGCACCGGTTATCATTTTGAATGTCGTTGTTTTACCGGCTCCATTTTCACCCAACATACCAAAACATTCTGCCCATTCGACCGAAAAGCTAATGTTCTTTACAGCTCTTAAACGGCCATAATTTTTCGAAACATTTTTGACAATCATTCCATGAGTTTCAAACATTTCATTGTGTTTAGCCATAATTCGAATTTCTTCAGCTCTTACATCATCATCTTTACAACTTGAGATGCTTTTTTGATTAAATTTCACTTGGTTAGTTTTTGCCCATTTTTCTTTGTTTAAATAATTCACTAATTTGTTAAGCTGTTTTCCGATTGGACCTTCCATGATTATCAAAGCTGACCAGTATACAAAACTAAGAAAAATACAACCAATAACATACTTGCCGATTCCAGGTGTTTCCATGCTCCAATAATTTTCATTATATCGGAAGCAATTCTTGGTGCAAATCTCTGAAAAAAAATTCAAAAGTTATTAGTAATCGAAAAAAAAATTATAAACATTTTACCTTTACAACAGTATAAAATTTGAACAGGCAAGTTTGGAATGTTTGGTGTTTGGCAAATTTTTTGTATATCGATTGTCATGTTCATCACATTATAAGTGGAAAAACAAACATCAAGACCGACAAAATTATCATAAATGGAAAAAATGCCCATTATGACAGCATAAATTGAAAAAATGTAAGAAAATAATGTATCACAAAATTCACTTGCGTAAAATAGATTAAAATCACCGATACGTAATAAAAGAACAGTGATAAAAGTGCTGAAACCAATGAAGAAAAAAGACAATGCAATTTGAACATAGGCTTTATGAGGATTCTTAAATATTCCTGACATTAAATAGATGAAAGGTAACGATGATAAACCATTTAGCAAAAGCAATATCATCATAAATGATTGATGCTTCAATGAAACAAATGCTTTCACATTAAAAATGTATAGTATAAAAGCAAGTATTAACACCGATATCAAATAGATGAAAAAATCCAGAATAAAAGTACTTATCCAATAGTAGAACATTTTCAGGCCAGAAATCTTTTGAATTAGTTTAAAATTTGAAGATTTTTCGATGACCAATAATGATGAAAAACTGGCCATCAGAAAGCATATTGAGGCAAGTAAACAGATCATTATTTGTGTTTGAAAAACTGAATCAAATTCTCGGGCTTTAATTGATTCACTAATTTTCTTTGGAAATGGATCATTCCAGATGGATAATTTAAATTGACTTCGATTCAAACTGTATCGTAATAATGTTTCATCAACCAAAGCAACGGCAATGGCTGCCGAATGATAAGCATGATTATTGAACAAGGCAACAGCAGAAATTTCATCGTTGTTTCGCGAAAACATTGATGAAACAAGATAATTTAAAGCTCTATAGTTCAGATCATTTTGTCGAAGGTCAATAAGATAATTCATAGCTTTTGATTTGATTTGGTCAGTCGTTTCAGATGATACGTTATTTGTTATAACATTTGAATTTTCTTTCAATAGATCGATATATGTTTGTCCTAAAGCGATTGATTCGGAATCAAGTGAAAAGAATGATGTCGCATGTATTTGTCGGTAAGTTTCAAGATTTAAAAGCAACGCAGGTGAACTTGTCAAGCTATGAGCCACACCCATGGCACTAATAATGCCAATAATAAGAACGATTGCGGGAAGAACAAAATGTGCAACTAAAAGAAAAGGACTTCGTAGCAGAAACCGTAATTTTTTGACAAATTGACTTTGAAAAATTTGCCTCAAATGTGCCAGTTCACTGCTATGTTCCAATGAATTATGTTTCATTCGATCAATTAGATCTTGTGAATATTTTTGTTCTGAATCAATGTCATTCAGCTGAAATTGATTGGCCCTATTCAAAAAGATGATATTATTGGAATAAAGAATCTAAAAACATGGAAAAAAACTCACCGAAAAAAGACCTCTTCGATTGTGGAAACAGAAATACCAAAATGATCGATGCCTAGATCAGTGTTATTCTGTTCGATTGTCAAGAATAGTGGTCCAAAATTTTTAGATTGACACTCTGGCAAACTGAATGTCATTTCATTATTGCTTGAAGCCAACAGGTTGGCATCAATGATGTGTGAATTGATCAAATCGATGATTTTTTGCTTATTTGCTTGCCTTGTTATTGCAATCTTTAAGAGATGACCCAGCTTGAAATCTTTACGTAATTGGTATGGTGATCCAAAGCATTTGAGTTGTCCTTGCTGCATAATGGCAATTTTGTCTCCTAAGACATCAGCTTCTTCCATGCAATGTGTAGAGAAGAGGATTGTTCGGTTAGTTTTTTCTTTGATTAGGAAATCCCATAGGAATCTACGAGCTGAAACATCCATTCCTGATGTAGCTTCGTCCAACAAGACAAACTTGGACCCACCTACCAGAGCTATTCCAACCTATAGACCAAAAAATAACTTTCAAACATAATTCCAAATCATAAAATAGACATACCGAAAGTTTACGTTTCATACCACCGGACAGCGTAGAAGCCAAATTTCGTCTTTTGGAGTTTAGATCCAATTTATTAATCAGTGAATCAATTTCCTCGTAAATAGATTTCTCACAAACATTTTTCAATTTGCAATAAAACCATAAATGTTCTTCAACAGTAAGATGATCAAATAAAACATCAAATTGTGGACATATTCCAAGATTTTCACGCACACGTTCCATATCATCATGGAGATTTATTCCATTAATGAGGATTGTACCGCAACTAGGAATGATTAAACCACATAACATGGACATCAAAGTGGTTTTTCCCGCTCCATTATGTCCTAATAGAACAGTGATGCGATTTTGTGGCAAATTCAACGTCAAATTTTTAACGGCAAATGTTTTCTGGTCATCATACGATTTATATAAATTTATTATATGAACTCCATTAGAATCTAGCGGTTTTTCTTCATCTTTTTGGTAATCATTTGATGGATAAAAAAAATTGACAAAAAAATTCCATGGTTTGCCCATTCCATATTTTCCTGGAAATACGGCTCCAATATAAATAGCAGTGATAAATTGTACAACTGATGTCACTAGAAACATGATGAATATATAACCAAATGTCATTGGATCATCGTGTGCTATTGGCTCCCAAATGTTGTTCCAATGAAGACCGATATGATTAATTTCTAGCTCAGAAATTATCATCAATCCAAATGGCATGTTTATGTTGAACAAAAAACTTGAGAATAATCGCCATTCAAATGGTATTTCGCTTAAAATTACATTATGATTAGATGGATAATTTTGGAATCTGATGAAACTTACTCATAATTAAAGTTGATAAAATAATATGGTAAAAATAAGAGAATGTAAATGGTACCACCGATTGTTCCGGCAAAATCAGCCTTTTCTGATATTTTGGGTATGCTACTCACCAGAAAACAAAACGTTATTACAGAAACGACATAAAACATGATGAATAGGAACACTAAAAATGGATCACTGTATTTGAGTATAGCTTGTTTGCCAAATGGAATACAGAGAATCGATGTTATGATTATGCCGAATAAAGTATGCCATAAAAAAGCATAAATAAACCAGGATAGCCAATGCATCCATTCGCGTAGACCCATTATTTTCATTATTTCTTTCAATCGTAATTCTTTCTCCATCACAATGTCTTTGGTTAACTCCATCGAGATGGATAGAAAACTTAACAAAAAGACTATTGGAAAAACAATTTCCATGTAAAAGAGAAAATCGTTTTTCTGATATTTCGGAAACGGGTATCGTTGGATGGACATACGAAGTTGATCAAAAAAATTTTCACTTTTAGGATCAAAATAGATGGCTATTGCTTTGCTGATTTCATGTTGTATATACAGAAATCCATTGTTGAAATAATCTGGTGGTCCACCATAACTATTGTTCGCTGATCTTGGACCACTCAACACGTGCCGTGGCCAGTATTTTGATGTTTTCCAAGTCAATTCGATAAATCGAGACACACTATTACCATTCTGATTTGGAATGAATGGAAAACGAATTTTGAAATCAGCACCATCATAATTAATTCGATTAAATACAATTGCACAAGAAATTTTGTTGTTGTTGTTTCTCTCATAATAAGCGATTAGATCGGATTCATTGTGAAATCCAATTATTTCAGTGGTCACTATGTTTTTGTGCAGAATTTCCATGATTTCTTCAGTTTCATTAGTTAACGGAGCATATAGAATTTGTTTATCAGAAATTGCAATTGTGGACAAATCTTCATCAATACCATGTTCATTATATATAGTCGTGTTTTTGACAAATTCTTGATCGGCTACCATTTGAATCAAGACTAATATGATGCAGAAAATACATGGTACTAACAACCAGAATATTGATCGACATGGATGACGGCTTTTGATTTTAAAATTTTTCCATAATAACAAAATCACCGGGTTATTAAACAAGCAAATGGCAAGTTTTTCGATGAAATTTGGATCAAATTCTGATGATGATGATGATGACGCTGATGCTGAGGAGGAAGAAGAAGAGGAAACAATTTCATTATTTGATACAATTTCATCATTTACTGGTTGTTTCTTAGGCAACATGATCAATACATAGATAATGCCAATGATGACTACGATTAACGACTAGATATTTATTGTGTTTAAATATGTTTTGATATTGTCGAAAATGAAAAGAATTCGAATTTTTTGCATCTAACCAATTTCCAACACTAATAATACAATAATAAGTCAACTAATATTAATTGTTAAATCAAATATTGTTGTCATCGAATGAATCAGAGAGAAAAAAAAAAAAAAAAAAAAAAAATTAAAAATCTTGGATACGGCTAAATCGATTAAGATGAATGACAAACAGGATACAACACCGTTGACATACATAGGTAACGACAATGCAAAAGCTTTCATCCAAAAAAAAGCAAACATCCAACATTTACTTGAGTGTGTGGTTTTTTGTTGTTGTTGAAATTTTATTGTGTAGATTCTGATTTCGCTATCGAATGAAAATGCATAAATTATTCCATCAATTTTAATATAATGATAATAAACAAACAAATTATTTACTTTTTAATAAATTAATTTTAATCATGATAATGATGATGATTATTATTATTATTGGTTATATACAAGAAAAAAAAATCAATCAAAAGTATTTATTGATTTGGATTCATCTTTTTTTTTGCCACAGGATGTTTGTCTTTTAAGGTTTGAAAAAAAAAATTATTTGTGGTTAGTGTATATATATATATGTGAGTACGTGCGTGTGTGTGTGTGTGTGTGTGTTTAAATTTGTCAATTATCAGAAAAAAAAGGAAAATGAAAGAAAGAAAACACGACTGTTATGACTAGTTCCTTTCCGGATTTTCTTTTCGAAATATATATGTAAAAAAAAATTTAAAAAGATTTTCTTTGATAAAATCGTATTGCCATTACAAATGGTCAATCGCGATTAATGCTGATGATGATGATAATGATGATGCGAGTGTTTGTGTGTGTTTTGTTTTGAACTATAAACTATGTATATATATATATATATAAGTAATTATGGAATCAATGATGATGATGTGATAAATAACAATGTTTGGCAGTTTTTTTCCATTATAGTCAATTTCGTACATATATTATGTAATATTAGAAAACATGGAGTGTACACACATATAGAACACCGTTGTAAAAATGATTCGAATGTCGATGTTGTTGATAAAAAATGAATTTGGCTGCAGGGTGTAGTGAGAAAGAGAAAGAGAGAGAGAAAAAACACTACTAAAATATATAACAAGAATATCACTGAAAAATAAGAATAATAATAAGCAAGTATATGATTATTATCAATTTATGTTACATATATAAGAAATAAGCTGACAATTATTAATTGTGATTATTTGTGTGTGTGTGTGTGTGTGTGTGTGTGTGAAATACTGGTTCAGACGTTATTTTTCTGTTCAATGAATCAGGTGTGTCGACAATGGTGTTGGCACATTTACATTTACATCAATGATAATAATGAAGTTGATAGAAAAAAAAGATCAATTTGTTATAAACAATGAAAATGAGAGAAAAATTATATAAAAATGAATACTAAATTTTTTTTTTTTAAAAATGTAGAATCAATTGGAATGTCGTTCGAATGAATATGACCAATGATCCGTATGGTAGTTATATAAAGAAATGTGTTTGTAAAGTTGAAGTTTTTGTCACGACATCAATCAAAATCCGAAACAATAATATTTGTTGAGATCAAAAGAGATTATAAAAGTCGATCCAAAAAGATATTAGTCCACACAGTTTTCACGATTGTTGTTGATTATGGATCATTAATTTGTATATATTGAGCAAACATAAATTCAAATTTTGATATAATGATCGTCAGAATGAGATGTAAATTTTGATTCGTCTGTGATACTGGTAATTGAATTTTGATTTGATTTTTTTTTTACCAGCTAAGATTGGATGATTATTCACAAATTTTTTTTTTGGTTTTGATTTCTAACTATTGCATTCGTTTTTTACATGGTTTATTCTTCCTCGCTTTCTCCTTGCACATACATGACGGCCAAATTCTGGAACCTTGGTCCCCAACGATTCAGATAGTCAAAATCCTGTTCATTATCATCCATAGCTGATGCTAATGAACTTAGAGAACCAGCTGTACTGCCACAACCTTCGTATGCATAGTTACGTAGATCATCAAATGGAGGTGCGTTTGGGTCAGTGTCTGCTTTTTCAAGATTTTCTCGTATCAATTCTCCAACATCTGGATGGCCATCAGGTGGGACTAAAACATCGATAATGTTCAAATGTTTAATGTATTTGCGTATGATAAAAAAAACTTACATTGGCGATGACGCATATCTTTGATCATCGTTGGTTTGCCCGGTATCGTTGCACCAGTGGGATCAATCGGTATACGAAGTGGAGTTATGTCATAGGCATTCATATCATCCTCTCCACCGCCTTCGTCATCATAGCTGATGATATTCTCACGAACGTCATCATCGACGTCGTGTCCAAATTTTTGATGAGGTCGTTTACTTCGTTTGTAAATCAAAAAGGCAGCAATCAAAACTGTAAATGAAATTAATAAAATTAAATTAATTGAAGCTCGTTGAATGAATAACAAGGAAAAAAACAATCCCCGATGATTGATCCCAATAGCAGTGAACGATAGTCGTTTGATGATTATGAATTCAGAATCTTACTTGAATAAAAGATGACACAAAGGAGAATTATGAGCAAAGCATCCATTCCTAATCCAACAGCTGCTTTGCCTCGACGTAATAAGGGTCCTTCTTCGCAGCTACAATTATCACAACGGAATCCTTCTAATTGACATTCACAAGAATATCCACCGCCACGAGGAATATTATAACAAATACCGCCACGACCACAAGGGTGCCATTCACATTCATTTCTATCTTCACAACTAAGACGATTTGCCGTCATTTGAAATCCAGTGGGGCAACTAATTGTCGGAAAGTATAAATAGATTATAGTGATTGATGATCATAATTCGTATAAAGTGAACAGTGAAACATTGAGAAACGAATAGGAAATGAGAAAAGGAAAATGAAGAAACGACGCACAGACACTGCTATGGAGATCCGGAAAATTCGGAGATCGAATAAATGAATAATAAAATGAAACGTACTAATAAAATTAAAGGCCAATATAAGTATGATAATCAATGCAGAATTGCTCAATTGAAGCTCTTTGCCGACACGCAGAGCATTACAATATTGGCCGGAGAAATGAGGCAAACATGTACAGTGGAATCCTCGGCCGTCTGGTAGATTCATACACGTTCCACCATTAAGGCAAGGATTAATTGGATAACATTCATTAAGATCAGTACAATTCTTTCCGTCTCCAGTGGCTCTGAATCCAAGTGGACATCTTTCATTTGTAGACAAGACAGTGAAGTGGTTAGCAGAAAACAATAGAAAGGTTGGAAATTGAAAGTTAAAACAGTGAAAAGATTTAAAATAGTAATAACAGAGAAATCGATATGAATTAATCAAGATGAACAATTTGGGTTATAATGGTTTGATCACAAAAGTTCGACATACCTGCATTCATGCAAATTCCAGAGATCTATACATTCGAATGGATGATTGCAATGTATTCCTTCACATGGATTATTAGAAGGACAACCAGTAATTATGTTTCGAGCCTCAACAACAAAAGCATTTTCCGATCCATTTTCCATGGGCAATTGTCGACCGTCCAAACGAATGTCAGCCATACAGCCTAAATAATATTAAATTAAGGATAAGTTATAAAAAATTAAAAATAGACATTAATCGTACCTTCAACATAATCAAAATCAACAATATATTGAGATGGGCCGACAATTTGGGCAAATCCACCAGCCATAACGTTTTGTTTGTCAACCAACAACAATTGATGTAATCCTTCATATTCGGTAATTTCATTAGATCTTCGACCTCCACCACCATCCAATACGATTGAAGCAGTAGAACCATATCGTTGAACTTTGACGGTATGCCATTGACCATCACTGACAGAAACGAATGGCAACCATAGTTCACGTTCTTCAAGATTATTCAGATTGAAACGGAATCGTAATTTTTTGTCTTTAATTTCTAGGATCCAATATTCACGATAATGTTTGCTGGCTACTCGAAATAGTTCGCCATTCTTTTGTCGTGTTCGGAATTGTAGTTGAATTTCATTTCGATAAGGATCCGGATCAAAAGAAATGGCATATTTGATATAACTGTTAGTCTGGAACATCTTTGACATTGTTTCACGATCACAGTTAGGTCCAGTCCAACCAGGTTCACATAAACATCGGGCAGAATTGAAGCTGGCCACACATTCACCGTTAGAACATCGACCATAAATTGAATTTGCTTTACACAATTCTTCCGAAATTTGACATCCAGGTTCTGAATTAGAATACGAACCAGGAGAACCAAGATCATACATAACACTGTTATGAATCAAATTTCTGATGCATCCGTTGAAGCCGATCTTAGTGGGAAGATTAAAGTAGTTAGCATTGGCCAATAAGGGCGATATGCCTGCCGATGAAAGTTTCTGATATAGACCGCCAACTTGCAAAGGACTATTTACATTGAGAAATTCATTAAATCCAACAATTTGTGTAATATTTTCACATCGAGAACGATCTACTCTCATTAAATCATCGTCATTGAATCGAATACCAGCACAGTTGTCAACTAGGATTCGAGCTGTTTCCTTAGTCCAGAAAATATCTATACGATGCCATTCACCATCATGTAAATCACCAATCGGATGAACAGTTAACTCGGCTGTACCAGATCCAAAATCAATAAGCAGTCTTGGATTACCACGTTGAAGTTCTAGAGAGATGAAATCAGTTATTTTATATTCGCCTTCGATTGGTTCGCCCATTGGACCATTGTAGAAAAGCAAACCACTAGGTGTTCGGGTCATAAATTCGATGGAAAGATGAGAATCTGAACAAACTTGCAATGGAGGATACCATGCCCAACCATCGCCGTGGAAAGTACGTGAAGGCATTTCGCAACGTGGACCAGAATACCCTCGAGGACAAGTACATAATGCTCCAACCAATGAATCAGTACAACGACCACCGTTCAAACAATGGGGTGGCATTTTACGACATGTTTCGGTTTCATCGAAATCCCTTGGACCACAGGAACATTTGGGACGGACACCAACATTAACGCCAACAAAAGATGTACGATTAGCATTGACAAATATTGGCTGTGGATAGATTTCAAGTACGTTGGTACAGCTTGCTCCTTCACAATTTATATTTTCCACCAAACATTCATCGATTCCAACCATGGTAATATTGATGCCAACTTGATGTTCAATAACTTTTCGATTCAATGTAACTGCACCATCCAAAAATACAGATTTTAGGTAAGGAGATCCATGAGCTGAAAATCGAATGTCAGTGATTGGAGGCCTTTCGGATCTGGTTATCACACTGAATACATCTAGGTTTTCGCGTTGTACTTTCAGAATACGGGCCAATACATCCTTGAATTTTTCATATTTACTTTTCTCCTGTTTTTGTTTGTGTGGAAACCAAACTCGAATAAAATCTTCAGCAGTGATTCCACTAACACGAATTGAACCAGAATTATAAACAGCTTCTTCGGGCAATTCACGAACAACAACAGTAACGTTGGCCGGGACATTTTGTGTATGTTTACGATCATGAACATTAAATCGTAGAAAGTATTCACCATTGGTTACATTTTTCATTGTTATCATGCCATCGTCAGTATTCAAATCAAACAATGGATGAGCAACACCACCATCCCAGATGAATGATTTATCTGGCAAATCCCAATCATCAAGATCTTCCACATGAACTCTACCAATCGGTGTTGGAGGTGATTGTCCAAGAAAGTTGTATACGAAGATGTTTTTGCTTCCAGGATACATACGATTATCGTTGATATCACCGATGATTACAGTTAATGTAGATGTTCCTGATTTTGATGGATAGCCACTATCTTTAATGACGATCGGAACCAGATATTCTTTTTGAATTTCACGATCAAATTCTTTTTTCGAAGTTACGATAGCCATACCATCACCATTGGCACCTTTATGATCTTGATGAACATCGAAAAATTCTTTGATCGTATCGGAAGCATCTTTCGATAGACGGAATGTGAACGGAGGGCCATTATTTCTGGAACGATCATCATCATCTGTAGCGAGAATTTCTTCAACTTTAGTTGGCCCTTGATGTTCCATGATGACTGGTCGATAATCTTTGAGAAATCTAGGCGCATTATCATTAACGTCAACGACAATAACTGTCAATGTAGTTGTAGCTGTACGGGCCGGGATACCATCATCGATGGCCAAAATTTTAACATGATGACGTGGAGTATCTTCACGATCTAACATACGTTGTGTTTTGACCACACCATCTTGTCCGATAGTAAATTGACGCTTTTTATCAGATGATCGATCAATGGCATAGCTGACACGTGATTTTCCACCTTGATCAGCATCATGAGCAACAAATGTTGCTAATGGAGTGCCTATATTAGCATCTTCTTGCACAGTTACATCTAAATTTGTTTCTTTGAATTCAGGCTTATTATCATTAATATCACGAAGTCGGATGTAAACTTTGGCATAATCAACATGATACGATTCAGAGCTTTCACCACTATCACTAACTTGTATGGTTATATTGAAGCCATAACGCTGTTGATAATCTTCATAGTCGAGTGGTTTCGCCACTTTCAACGAACCAGTACCATCAGAATTGGTAACCATTGTAAATTTGTCAGCACCAACTGAATTTTCCAAAACTCGATAACTAAATCGATTGGTCTCGAGTAAATCTTGATCGTTGACAGAAACTACGAGGATAGGATTTTCTGGCAGCATTTCACCATCAGTTTCATCAACTTCTACACTCCATTCTTTTTTGGTAAACTCAGGGGGCATATCATTGATGTCACGTATTTTTATCGTAGCCGAACCTGTACCTTTCAGTCCACCACCATCAGTAGCGACCACTTTTATTACATATTCCGGATTTTGTTCACGATCCAAACAACAAACCAAAGTCGAGATTGTACCGGTATCTTCATCAATTTTAAAAATTAATTCTCCACGTTCGTTAACAGGATTTTGTTCAATAGCATATTTAAGTCGAGCGTTTGAACCTTCATTAGGATCATCATAATCGACAGCAGTCATGGTCATAACTGTCATATCAGCGGTGCCATTTTCGGTAACGTTGCCTTCATATCGTGATTGTGGAAAGAATGGAGCATTATCATTAATGTCTCGTAAGTTGACTAACACATCAGCATAACCGACTAAACCGTTACCACCTTCATCTTCTGCGAATACAGTAAAACGCCATTGTGAACGACCAGTTGGTAAATCACGATCCAGCGGTTTTAGCACGTAGATTTCACCAGTTGTTGAATTTATAGAGAATTTGCTGTTACGAGGATTCTTGTCATCGATACCTTGGCCAGTCAAAAAATATACAATGGCTTGAGGACGATCTCGATCACCATCCGTTGCAGTGACCTAAAATTAAAAAACATTGTTTATTAATCAATTTTCTTGAACAATCAATGAAAAATAATTCTCAAGTGTCAATCCATCAATAAATGGTTAGCGTGTTATTCAACAATAAAAACAAAAAAAAAGTCGGTCAAAACTAAGTGGGTCCAAATTTTTACCTTAAGAATCATTTTGGGTAAATCTTGATCATCTTCTTCAAGAATTGTGGTTTCATAGGAGCTCTTTTCAAATTTGGGTGGTAAATCATTGATGTCTTTTATGAATAAACGGACTTGGGTAGAATTTTCGTGCAATGTATCCGATGCGACTAAGGTCAGGTTATACTATAATCATCAGGGGATGAAACAAAATTGAAACAAAAAATTGAATAATTTTCCTATTAAAAACAAAAATCAGGAAAAACAAAGGAAAAAAAAGAAAAGAGGGGCAATTTGCAAAATTCCATACATAATCGCTAACCAACCATTGGTGATAATTTACACTTATTTAATAATAATTCAATTTGAATTTATTTAAACCTGTAACACTCGTTTAGGTAGCATTCGATCATCCTCTTCGGTGATCTGTGTTTCATATGTTGGCCGATCGAATATCGGTGGATTATCGTTGACATCATTTACATGGATGACTACGTGAGTGAAATTTTCATTGAGATTATCTGATGCAACCAAACGTAGTTTGTACTATATACAGTATATATATTTTTCAGAATAATAAATATTATTGTAATTATTGAAAAGAAAAAAACATCTTTTCTATTCTAAAATTAACGTAAAATTTGCAAATTGCATAACCGAAAAAAAAGAATGAAAACAAAAAGAAAGAAAAAGAAAATAAATGGAAAAAATGAAGAAAACCTCTTTTCGCGATTCATAATCTAATGGACCAGCAACATAAATAGCACCAGTTTCATTTTTCACTGCAAAAGCGCCACCATGATTACCACGAGTAATTTCATATCGAATCTTTGAAGCTAAATAATCACATGGAAAAAGAAAAAAAAATTAAAGATTTATGTATCAAAGCACATGACAACATTACATTCATCTTTGTCTTTGGCAGTAACAGTGATGACCGTATGATGAATATCTTCATCTTCATTCACTTCAGCATCATAAAGAGCTTGATCAAAATATGGTGGATTATCGTTTTTGTCACCAATAGCAATACGAATATATTTGGTAACTATTAAAAAAAGACAATATTAGATTGAGTTAAAATCAACTTTCATGATTTACCATAATTTGGTTCATTGTTTTTCATGTTTGGTCGAGCTGACGGTGCACCATCTTCAGCTTTAACAAGAATAGCATAAGCTTGTTTTTCTTCACGATCAAATTCCATGTTGGTAAAGATTTCGCCAGTTTCGCGGTCAATTTTGAATGGTGGATTACTTTCAGAGCCTTTTGGCATAATCGAATAGTAAACTTTATTGAACGGAGGTGTGCCATCTTTATCGATTGCTTCAACTTGTGTGACTTTGGTTCCAGGTGGCATACCTTCAAGAACAGTTTCCTGTTCTTTTTCTATGAACAAAGGAATTTCATCGTTGACATCCATTAGATAAATATGAACAGTAGCTTCGGATCCAAGTTGTTGAACTCCATTGTTTTGTACTCGTACGGTTAAATTGTATTGATTGATTCGTTCATAATCCAGCGGTTGATTGACACAAATATCGGCCCATATTTCATCACCTTCGCCGGGGCTTTGTATGACATAGAATGTATCTTTTTTGTTAGTCTGTTCGGTACCACCTTTCATTAACGTGTAAAAAACAGTCGGATTGTCCGGTATTCCAGAACGAGCCTTGATCGAAATTACTTTGTGTCCAATGGGAACATTTTCAGGGATTCGAATTGGACCATATTCGGGTTTGTCCCAAATAGGTGGATTGTTAGCACGATCGACTACATCGATTGAAATATCCACCGTTGCTCGATGTTGTGGGTAACCATTATCGGTTGCTATTGCTCGCATCGAGTAATGATCACCGTCAAGCGGACGGGCCAAGCTAATCCAACCAGATTCATGATTTATGTTGAAATAACTCAGATCGGAATGTCGGTCTAGTGCGGTAAGATTATAAGTGATGATACCATTCATATCAGCGTCTTCATCAGAAGCTGAAACACGAAGAATGTTTGTACCCAATGCTGTATCCTGACGAACATATTCTTTGTACTCTTGTCGATCAAACAAAGGTGGATTGTCATTAATATCGGTGATTTCGACCTAAAATAAAACGAAAACATTTGTCAAAATATGATTATAAAATTCATATGAGCTTACCTTGAAAGAGCAAACACCTTCCAATGGAGGGGAGCCACGATCGGTAGCTTTAACCGTGACCGAAACAAAACGACCATCATCTCCTTCTCGATCGAAAACTTTATTAGTCTTGACTTCACCAGTAATTTCATCCACGACAAACTTTGTTCCTTTTTGATTTGGTTGTTGAACAATCGAATATCTGACCTGACCATTATGTCCTTTGTCTTGATCGGTTGCTTTGACGGTAATTACATGTGTTCCGCTCGGTGCACCTTCTTCAACTTTTGGTTCATATGAGCCACATTCTTCAAATACGGGTTTATTATCGTTAACATCTGTGATGAAAACAACGACAAGAGCTGTGCTTGTATGAATAGTACGGGCACCATTACGACAACAAGAGCCATCATCACGAGCTGTAACATTCAATTCATATTTATCTTTATCTAATTCAATGTTTCCTGAAGTCAAACGAATGACACCAGTTCGTTCTTCGATAGTAAACATGCCGGAAGTGGTACCACCACCAACGAATCCAAACAATATACCATCACCATCTTTGTCACTGGCCACAACTGTTGTGACCAAGGTATCAGGTCCAGCATTTTCATCAACATTTGGCGTATATACATCTTGTGAGAATTTCGGTGATTCATCGTTTTTATTCTCTGTGTAAACACGAACAGTTGCCGTACCAGTTAGAGGTGGATCACCTTTATCGGTTGCACGTACTGTAAACACATATGTATTGTTCAAATCGGCGTCTAGTCTTTTGTTGGATCTGATAATGCCTTTTGAGTCGATAACAAAATCATCTCGATCGACTGTGTAAACAATTTCAGCATTCTTTCCTGTATCTTGATCAGTGGCCGACACTTGTAATATTGATGTACCAATATTAATATCTTCATCAATATTATGAGCTTGATAGTCGGGCAATTCAAATCGTGGTGCATTGTCATTTACATCGGTAACTTTGATAGTCAATTCGACTGATGTAGAAAATCCACCAGAATCTTCAGTTGCAGTCACAATTAGATTATAAGTTTTGGGCTGACGAAGTTCCTCATAATCTAGTTCTTTAGCAAGTTTAACAATACCGCTAGTTGGTTCAATATTGAACGTTCCGGATCCAGCACTTCCTTGTGTTTTCAAAGTATAACGAATTTGCCGTTCAGCAAAAGATTTAGCTTTAACCTCAATGATGTCCGAATCTTTTCGTTGATTCTCCGGTATAGTGGTTTCATAATGAGGCATATAAAATTGTGGTGCTCGTTTCCCGCCCATGATTGATAGACGTGCTTCTTCTGTCGATTGAAATGTACGATCGCCAGTAGGACCATTGTGATCTTCAGCTTTGACGTAGATGACATATTCTTTGTCCAACATGAATGGTTCATAGCTTTTGACACGAACTTCACCAGTTCGTTCATCGACCTCAAAACGACCACCAGTTCGATCACGAACCAGAAAATAGTGTATATTATGATCAGTATCAGGATCACGAGCTTGTAGTTTATATACTGACTCGCCCGGTTTTGCATTCAATTGAACAACAGCTTGCATTGGTAAAGGACGATTTATGAAATAAGGTTTTTCATCATTCACATCTTTTATATGGGTGATTATTCGTTGTCGAACAACATCATCTTTGTCTATTGATATAAAATAAAAAAAAAATGAAAAAATGAAATTAGTAAACTGTGGTTGTTTGATTATCATGATGTAATGGTAAATCTATTTGTTTCATGTCTTATTAAAACCGTTATACAAGCTACTGAATAAGATTTAATTATCAATCTAACTATACAAATCATTCGATTGTCTGGTCAAAGGTCACGAAATCATGTAACTAAACTAATCAAGAAAAAACTTGACCGTGAATTTGTTATATTGATAGAGTATAGAAAATTAAATAATAAAATAATGTCATTCCATCCATCGCTTTGTATACAAATTCAATGATTGCAACTCTGGAAAAAAGTAATCTATTTCATTACAAACAAACACGCAATTGAAGATCCAAACTTAATGATGATGATGATGATAATGATCATGATGATAAGAATGAATAAAACTAGAATCACTAATCTTTATTAGGCAATTTTTTTTCATGTTGATTCCAGAAAAATCATCATGGAAATCATCACAATAATAACAACATTCGACAAAACCAGAAATTCACGATAAAAAAAAAAAAACCTTTAAATGTAATCTCATTTCGTGTGTAAATTAGCGATAACACACAAAAAAAAAAACAGACACATGTAATTTGTTTCAAAACAAAAAAACAACAACAACAAAAGTACTAAAAAAAATTAGTTCAAATGAATAAAGAGAGAGAAAAAAAAATTCAAATTTTCCATTCATTTATATCATATAAATGTAGAATGGGATCCATACATTTTTTTCACCCTTCCGTATAATCAAAAAATCATTCAACACTTGTATTCTCTCTATTTTAATAATGAACAATGAAAAATTCATGTGCAATGTGGGATGGTGACGGTCATCATCATCATCATCATCATGATGATATCCATCCATATAGTAATAGCCATGATGATGATCATCGATCAAATGATCAAGAAAAGCAAAGGATAAGAAGTGGAAAAAAATGATATATTTTCCTCATAAGATACACAGATGGTGCATCCAACTAACGAACAAGATGAATCTACGCAACGCCTTCACATAAGGCACCATCATGAATAATCACAACATTTTTCATCTAAGTGTATGTGTGTGTGTATGTATGCGTTTGTCGTATGAATATATACTTGAATTTATCACACACACAAGTATCTCACAAGAATATTTAATCGAAGAATATCATCATCATCAACGAAAAGTAGTGAAAAAAAAATAAAATCATAGAACTATGATTAATTGATTGAAATCCATATATGATGGCCAATCTATATGGATGAATGAAAAAAAACAAAGCAAAAAAATTGATGATTACTGGGAAAAAAATGGTAAACAGTTTGCAAAATAAAAAAGATAATGAAATAAATGAATGAATAATCGAATGCAATAAGCGTATTCTGGATGAGATTTTGATAATGTGGCAAAATATAATAAGATATACCATAATAGATGAGTGTATAAGAAGCAGGTGTCAAGATGAAGATCATCATCATTATCGTATTCGATTTTTTTTTTTCTAACGAAATTTTTTTTTTGTTTTTGTCTTTCTACACTATGACCATGACTATATTCCCAATTATATAATTCTCTCTCTGTGTGTGTGTGTGTCTGTGTGTTTATGATTTTCTATCTATAACAGTGAAAAAAATGGAACAATTTTTTTTTTTTTGGTACAGCCACCATTATTATCATTATGATTAGTGTCCACGGTGAATAAACGCGAAATATATATCTGGCTTGAACAAGATATCCAATATCGAATAATGAATGTATTACATGTAATATTTATGAATTTTTTTTTATTTTCGTTGTGTTTCTGGTTTATCTTCACTCATAATGATATTCAACATGACACATGAACAACATTGTAACAAAACAAAAAATCTAGGCAACAAAAATAGTGTAGTGTAGTGTTTGGAAACTAAGATAACATGTCATGATACTGTTCGATAAATGTATGTTTAATCTGGGGGGAAAAAAATATCACCATTGTAGATGTGATGATGATCCAATTAAATTTTTTTTTATTTTGAATATTAAATTCACATGTCAAACTAATGGCCGACTAATTCACACACACACAAATATAAACCAATTCGATATTTATCGATAATCAGATGTTTACTATTCTATTATATAACGGGTGAATCGAGCAGGAAAAATACAATGAAATCAATGGACCATAAAGTTCACACAGACCACACTTTTACAATGGAATTTTTTTTCTTTTATTCACAAAGTGATTAGAAAAATAAAACAAAAAAAGCCACACAACTCGAATGAATCCGGTCCTAATTCACCAATTTACTATATTTTTCATTTAGTTTAGCGTTTGAATTCAACAGCAAAAAAAAAACGATTTCCATTAATGAAAGCTTTCAAAGTGACCAGATTTCAACTGTAAAGCAATGACCATACACATTCACAACAATCAAAATCAAATGAATTATGCAACAATAAAAAAAACTGAGAAATGAAAATTCCTATTTTAACAATTCCCCAGACAAAAAAAATTGAAAAACCAAAATGAAATTATAAATCCAAACGCTATAGCTTCTTCATATGAATCGAATTAAATACAAACTACAAACAAATGACTATAGTCCATCAACAATACAAAAAAAAATAATTTGGGATGCTACCATTTCTCTATATTGCAATTCCAAATTCTAATATAATAAACACAGATTTCCGGCACCAAGCATTAAAAACGATTTCACTATTTGGGAAAGAAACAGCAGCAGCGTTTCCTAGATAAAAAGGGCGCGGTAACTTTGGCGCCGAATCATTGTTGGGGGAAAAATAAACGATTTCATATTGTACATCCAACAACGACGACTAAGACAAGCGGTCGGGTGTGGAAGAACGAACATCAAACAAAGAAAAAACAATGTCTACAAAAAGAAATTTATCATTTCTACACTCAAGTAATGTCGGCAAGTAAATCCTGATTGTAGGAAAACTAGATAAGATAGAAAGAAAAAAAAATACTTACCACCATTTTCTAAGGATGAAATAACCCAAAAATCGATAGTTTTATCTTTGCCCAATTGTTCATAGTCCCATGGTTCTTTCACTTTAACTGCTCCATTAGGATCTACTGTTACCCATTTATTCGGAGTTTCGAGACGAAATTTTTCATTCGGCGTTCGACGATCTAATTGAAAAACAACCATTCCGGGTGTAGAACCATCTGATTCTTTAAATTCATAGGTTTTTGTATGACGAATTTCACGTTTAGCACGAGCACGAGCAATAGAATCATCTTTGCTGATACCAACTTCATCTTGTTGAGAAAATTCTGATTCGGAATCAGATTCTGAATCATTGTTAATGATATTATTATTAATTTCTTCACTTTGACTATCATTACTTATGCTTTTAGAATCATCTTCACTATCAATGTTGATATCCTCATTGTTATATGTATCTTCACGATAAATTTCAACAATGACAGGAACTGATTGTGATGAACGACGTTCATGTGCTGGTCGTCGATCATCCGTAGCATAAACTTCAAATTCATAACGTTGAGGGATGTGTTGAGCATGTTTAATCAACATTAATTGTCCAGTTTTCGGTACAATAACAAAATTAGGATGCCTTTCAGTTAGATGATATACGACTGAATCGGTTTCATCCAAATCGGTTGCTGTTACATTGCCAATCATTGAATATAATGGTGTATCATGGGCAATATAAAATTCATATAATGATCGTTCAAAAATTGGTACATTGTCATTTTCATCGTCGATCAAGATTCGTAAAGGAACTTGAGCGAAAAAATTATTGTCAGTCGAACGAGCTGAAAGGATATAATCATAGTATGGCTTGATTTCGCGATCTAATGATCGAGTGGACACAATCGATATCGATGTTAAATTGACCAAACGAAATGATGATTCATATTGTTGTGATTGTTGATTATTTCCATGACGTCGTTTTATTCGGATATCATCATCATCGTCGTCGTCATCGTTGTTGTTGTTATTATTATTATTGCTGCCTGTATCATAATCATTTTCAATCAATGTAAACAAAACGGTTCCATCATTGACCAAATTTTCACCATCAATCAATCGCAATGTTTCAAGACCTTCGACCACTGTTGAACCAGGTGCATTTTCTCGTATATGTCCGATTGCGGATGGTTGGTTGAAACGAACTTTGCTCACACGAGTATTGTTGTAAACATTTATACGGAATACACGGTCACGAACATAGAATGGTGATGCATCTTCCCGTACAGCCAAAAATACTGGTTTATTAACCAGATCGGTTAGATCTCTAGTTGTCATCAATAATCCGTCAGATAGTAATGTAAAATGTGACTTGGATGATGGTGTAGATGAATCGTAATCATCATCATTCATAACCAATGAAGAAGATGGTGATGAGGATGATGATGAGACCATTTCATAAACATGACGTTCGAGATCTTCAGAATCGGATGCAAATATAGAAACCAGATTCAGATCCGTATCGGATTCGGCTAACAAACGGAATCTTGGTTCGATATGTGGTTCAACGATGTTATTAGTGGTAATGGTAGTCTCTTGATTTTTTATTTGTCCATCATGATAATGACTATTACTACCATCTAAATTATCATCTTCAGACAACGTTAAAGAGACATCATAACGAGGTTTCGATGTGAATTTTAGCCTCAATACTTCATAACCTACATAGGCATCATGTGGTACGGCCACTACTTCTTCGGCCATTCCTTGGTCGACATGATAATTATTGGCGACAACATCATCCAATGATGATGATGATGATGATGACTGATCATGATGATGATAATAATGACTGGATAAAGAAATGGCCACATTGAATTGATTCAATATGATCATCAATAAGAATAATAACACAAATGACACATTTGACTGGAAATTTTTTCTTGTCGAAATTGATGGCAATTGTTGTTGTTGTTGTTGTGATAAAAAACATGAAAAATCAAAAGTATTTTGTCGATTTGTTGTCGACATTGTTCTTTTCGTTATCCGATTTCTTTGTCGTTGTTGATATTTATTGTTCATTATTATTATTGTCGATTGTGCCATTTGATGGCTTCGTGTTATATGATCATTATGATGATTATTAGTATTATGCTTCCTATGATGATGATGATGATGATTAATCAAGGAATTTAATGATGATGATGATGATGGTGATGTGAAATTGGGTGGATCCATGATTTTTTGTAGTTGTTGTTGTTGTTATTTGTTATGAAGAGTGGATTGTAGATGCTTCAAATGATAATGATTTCATCAACACCACCACAATATAGAGGATTTTGAATTGAACATTATTTGTTTTGAGAATTTTAATTTACTGGTAAACGATAATGATGATGATTATGATTGTGATGATTATGATTATTATTCACATTTGCCTGTTGGGTAAAAAAGAAAATAAAAAAAAATTAAAATTAGTTTTTTTTCAATTTCGAGAAAAAAAAAACATTCATAAATTCATAACATTTCATGATGATGATGATGATATATTCATTTACATTTTCAAATATTTAACGAAAAAAAAACTCATGAAAAGTCATTATTATTTCACATAGTGAATAAATATAGATCAAAGAAAAAAAAACTTTGGCCCTTTTGTTCAATTCATTCATTTCAATAGTTGTTTCGATAGTTTATCATCGTCATCGTCATCATCATCATTATTATTATGTTTACCATTGACATTTAATAAAAATTTTTCATCCATATATATAAATTTCAAAGTGAAAATAATTTTCATTTCTTTTTGAGAAAAAAAAAATTCGAGTGCAAAGTTTTGTCACGATGAATGTTGTTTGTATGTGCAATGTGTGTTGTATTGACAAAAAAAAAACTTTTTTTCAAGTGTTAAGATATTCATCATCAAGTTGGGTTTGGGTATTAGCGTACACGATACGAATTCTACTTTCTCGATAGTAGAAAATTAAAAACTTTGAAAAAACAAAAAACTTTTATATATATATAGAAATGTCAATGAAGTCAATGATGAAGATGATGGTGACGATGAGTGCAAAGAACAAAGAGTGTCAGACAAAATTTTTCAAATTTAGTTTTTCATTTTCATTTTAATATAAAAAATGTATTTTTCTGTATATTTCATAAACCCAAACTTTTGTACAAAAAAAATTTATGATTCCTATTACTTTCATCATCATCATTTTTATTATTATATCTAGTGCCTTTAGTGGTCAGATCAAAAAAAAAAAAAATTGCCATCAATTTAGCCATAATAAGCCGGCCAATGATCTGAAACATTTGATTGCAGAGAATGAAAAAAACAACAACAACAACAAAAACGAATTGTCGTACACACATATATTTCAGATTAAATGTCCTGAATGTCAAGATTTTCAAAATTTTTTCAGAATTCAAATGTCTTTTTTTTTCTAGACCCACACACACACACACAAACACACACATGCAGGTGATGTGTGTGGAGGCCGGTCATATTAATTTCCACTATCATTGATTCGAATCTATATATGCAACTTTCATTTTCCATCATTCATACTACACACATAAATTCAAAGTTAATAGTTTATCAACGTAATTGTATCGTGGAAAATATTTTTCTTTTTCTTTTTGACTTTCGTTTTTCATTTGTTGTTGTTTTCGTTAGTCAATAATTAATGGATGTCTGTGAATGTTTTGAATAGTGAATGTAATTGACTTCGTAGGATGGATGATTCGTTTGTTGAATGAATGATTCAACAAACGACTAGGTTAATGGAAATTGGAACAAACAATATTTTCAAAATGGGCAATATATAGAAAAATAAATGATTCAGTCGATATGAATGTTAATTTTGATCACATTTGATCTATATTTTTTTTTCTGACTATAACTACCAAGAGAATGGAACAAAAATATCCAATCAAATATTTTCTCATTTTTTTCTGGTTAATGTTCTTTATAAATGAAAAAAAACTACATTTACAATTTTGATACCATAAAAATCAAATAAAAAAGTCTTGTAGTAACAAAAATGTGTTCACATTTATTTCGAGAATAAATTGACAATTGATTCATTTGAACTATGAATATGATTCCAGTTAATTTTGAATGTGAAAAACACTTAAAAACAATTTCAATCGTGGAAAAAAAATGAGATGTGTGAATACTTGGAAAACAAAAAAAAGGGTCAAAAAGAGATGTTGAAAATGTGTGAAAAATGTTTTTTATTTCTCTCTTACAATCATTTCTCATCGAAAAACCTATCATCTATATATATTAGATTAATGATATTTGACAATGAGAACAAAAAAAAAAAATTAGCCTCCGAAAAAAAACCTCATCATCATTCATCATCAGGTTTAATCATCAAATATTATATAGAGACCCAAAAAAAACTTCAAGTTTAATTAAATCCAAAACAGCCAAGCCATTTTTTCTTCATCATATGAATATTTATTGATAAGAATAATACAGACCCACTGTATTATAATTTCAAACTGTCATCATTGTGATAAATTAATCAATCAAACAACAACAACAAAAAAACATTGATGTGGTCAATAAAAATATCGTTAAAACTGAAAATGTCAGTCAAAAAAAAAAAAAAAAAAAAAAATCCAAAGATTACCGTGTCATTTGTTGAACATGATCAAGTCATCATCTTTTTTTTAAATCTAACATGATTATATCGTAATAATTTTGTTGATGTTCACACACACACACACATACACAGTGATTCTTAACACACGAATCACCTTAGTATTTAAAAAGATGTCAATCATTGTCTTAATCATCACCATCACCATCATCATCATCATCGTGTGGCAATGAATTAAAACAGGAAAAAAAAGATCAAAACTTTTCCTTGATTTTACCATCGTTTTCTGACAAGATTTCGATAAAGTCTTAAAATGGAAGTTACCAAAAAAAATTGCCCCTTTAACAAATATTATTCGTTATTTGTTTTTCTTCTTCTTTTCTAAAAAAAACATCAACGATTGATTGTGTGAATAAATATTTAAATTTTGTATACATATCAAAATTCAACCTCGATATCATTATCATCATCATCATCATCATCATCACTCAGGTTACTATTCTCAGGTTTTTCTTTTCTCATTAGCATCATCAATTTTCAGAAAGAGTTCTAAATTTCAACTGTTGATTAAAAAATATCGTTTCATTTTATTTCTAGGACTCTGTTTTTTCATCCGCCAACTGATCGTAATTCAGGTAAACTCGAATGCACGAAAAAAAGTAATGTGAAATTGACTAGACTAGACACAAAACTTGTACAATGATGGACCGAAAAAAAAATTTTCAAAAAAAAAGAAATAAAACTATCGCTGCTATTTAGATGACTTTAAATGGAATGATAATTTTGATCATAATTGTTGATTGTTACTGTTTTTTTTATAGAACAACAAAACGATGACTTGAAAACGAATAAAAATGATGACCACCACCACCATCACCAACAAAAACTTAAATTACCAGATAACCAGGTATAAATGACAGAACCGGTTATTTGTCCATAGAGGAAGCAAAAGATCCTGTAGCAGCAGGTTTTTTTTTCTTCGTTTGCGAAATTCGATACAACAACAACTTGGCAATCAAGCATCACCAAAATGAAATCCTAAACACCTGTGGCTAGTTTGTTTTGTTTGTTTGTTTGTTTGTCGTCGTCGTTCACAAAGCCATATCGCCATTGGAGATTTCATGTGTGTGGAAATAAGAAAAAAAAATTCTAGCCCAAGTAAAAGGAAAAATCATAAATGATGATGATAGATAGATAGATAAAGGGGATGAATAATATCAAAGTTGGCATGCTAAGTAAAGAAAATAAAAGAGAAAAGACAGACACTAATGTTAAAAACAAACCTTTATGCAATAATTACATCCATCATCATCATCATGATCAACATCAACGACAATCAAGTGTCCAATGACGAAGTAAAAGATGACGAATAGATTACGGTCAACTCTTCTTTATACAGAAAAAGAAAACCATCATGGTCATCATCAAAAACTATTTTGGTATAGTTAAATTTTCTTTTTCTTTTTTTTAATTTTAGTTTCAACTGATTGATTGTATCATGTAATGTCATTGCACAACCAATGATGATAATGATGATAATAATGAACAAAAAAAAATTGGCGCCAATAAAATGCAAAAAAAAAAAAAAAAAATAAAAGAATCGGCCATTCAACAGACTGATGATGAATAACAACAATCAATACAAAACAAGGCAACGAACCACCACTAAAACACATCATGATCCATCATCATACACATGTGTGGTTTTCATATAACCAACAACAACAACACTAAAAAAAACAAAATTCAATTGTTTTTTTGTGCTCTAAGAAAATCAAAACCAGAGAATAAAAAAACTTGATTGTTATCAAAGAATTATTCATTCGAAATAAAATTCATGTGTTTCGTGAATCATCATCATCTACATTCATTCATTCATTCAACATACGCACACACACTATATATTTCATTATCACAGTATATATATCATTTATATATGAATATTAAAGAGTTAATGAAAAAGACGAAAAGAAATTTCTTAGATCAATATCATCATGTTTCACACAACAATAATGGTAATTTATCATTATTTCATAGTGTTAAACAAAACAAAACAAAAAAATATTAAATAATGATGATCCATCATGATGGAAACAAATATCAACAACACACATACATCATCAATGGTAATGAATGAATAAATCAACTGGCATCATTATCGAATACATAATAAATTGAATATTATAAGAGAAAAAAAAACGTCAACTTACTATTATATACAAAAACAATAGTGTTTAAAAAAATCGATTGTCTTTTATTATTATTATTATGGATTATGGATGGATTAAAACTCAATCAATTTATTCACACAAACACAAGCACACATGGTAATATCATCAACAAAATGAATACGATGATGATGATCAACTCTACAGACGACGACAATCATATTTTGGACACTTGTTGAATATTTATGTGAAAAATAATAATAATTTTATCATCAAGATCATCATCATAGTCACTATTTTCTCTCGAACACTTTTTCACACACACACATGCATTTCAAATGTGATATACAATATTAATCATCATCATCATCATCATAAATATCGACGAAACACAACGTCTTATATGATGATAAATTCGTTTATTCATATATATATAGGAAATATATAAAATGATGATAATTCAATCTGAGAAATACAAGAAAAAATTAAAGGTCAAAAAAAAAATTTTTTGGCTCAATTCTTACACAACACACCACCACAATCACCGGAAACAGAAAATAATAGACGATAAAAAACAACAATTTTTTCGTTTGAATTGTTCATTTTATAGATGTCTGTAAGTGATATAATGATGAGAATGAGAAAAAAAATAAATTTTTTTCCAAGATTGATTTTATGGTAACAAAAAAAAATCAGTGCAAAAAAAAAATCTGAAATTATTCGATTCCCACATTCAATGTTATCATCAAGTTTTTTGTTATTGTTATATTAATGCTGCTGCTGTGTATGTTAAACTCCGTTATCGAATAATTTTTCCGTTTCTATTTCTATTATAAAAAGGCTATTGTCATATATAACTATGTGTGTAATGACTAAATTTCGACCGGCTTGTCATGCATGCATGCATGCTTGAATCCATCCATACAAACATTGATGAATAAGAAATAAACAACCGTTTGACTCATCAAAAAAAATTTTTCTATCAAACACACACACACATAGATAAATACCATCAACTACAACAATCCATCGACATCGTAATCATCATCATCATCATCAACATCATCACGAAGTGATAATCCTAAAAACATCCTCATCATGAATAGAAAGCAAAAAGAAAGTTTTTTTTCTCAATTGCAATCACCATCATATACACACATTGCATAACTACTCCCACACACACACACAAACACACTTACACATACACCACCACCTCCTTCTTCTCTTCAAAACATTGCATATATATATGATTAAGAAAAAAAAAATCTTCATAGTAATAAGTTAACTGTAGAAGAACATCTAGTCATCATCATCATAGCATCATCATTTATTTTTTAAAAAAAGAAGAGTATGTCCTATTAGTAGGGGTTTATATATTTATATTCTAATAATAGTATTATTATTATGAAAACACACACTTCACACAACTATCATCAAGGATGATGCCATCAGAATCATCAACAACAACAAAAAAAAAGTTTCGACTGCAAAGACAAATTCACACACACACAGATGATGATGATGTTTAACGACATTAATTTCAATAATAATAAATGAAAAGAAAAGAATGACATGACCAAACGATGAATGAAATGAAATGAAATGATGAAAATAAAAACCACACAGAGAAGATAACTGAACTGCCATTAGAATGAGTCACACACATACAAAACATACAAAAAAAATGCATACAAATTTCACAGTAACAATGACACTTCCGTCGAAGAAAAACAAAAAGTTGTTGAATAAGATGGAAATAAACGGAACAAACAAAATAATAATTTCTTCTTTCTTGAGAGAATTACAAACCATGAAAAAATTGAAAGATACACAAGACAAAATTACATCGTAATAATAATAATATGTATTAGAACAAGAGAGACCTAAATTTTTTTCTTTGCACCTGTGTGTGTGTGTGTGTGTGTGTGTTTTTCCAATGAAGGATTCAATTAAAGATTTTCATTTTTTTTACACGGGAAAAAAATTTCAAATATTTTCAATGCACATTATCCATGACACTTAGATTATCATCATATACACAAACAAAAATATTAAAAACAATATAATCAATTATAACCAAATATCGTTTTTTTGAAAAATATTTCTCTTCTGTTTCTTTTATTTCAATTGACCTTGTTTTTGTTTTGCCACTGTTAAATGGAAAAATATCATTTGGGTAGCTCCAAAAAAAATAAACCCGGGAATAGAAAAAAAAATGTCACAACCAGAATGAGAAAAACAAATATTTGTGACGATGAAACACATTACTACATCATTATGGTACTTTGGTACAAAAAAAAGAACTTTTGATCAAATTAATTAGCTTTTTTGTTTTCAATAACTTACAACTGAACTTTGGGCGTTGGTATCTGGGTTTTTTTAGGATTTTTATTTTTTTCTTTCATTGATGAAATAATTTGTTATTACAAATCATTACAAAAATAGCAAAATAACAAAAAAAACGAAATAATTTCAAATGAATAAATGAAAAAACTTGTCCAAAATGGTTGATTCGTAGCAAAAAGTGACAAAAATTCATCTGAATAATTTATATAAAAACCATTCATTCATGTTTCATATAGAAATACCGATGAACAATAGAGAGAAAAAAAAATTAAATCAATGACCTCAAGTTTGGATTCAGTGAAGAAAAAAAATCAACAATAGCCAAACTATTTGATCATCATCATCAATTGAATGATACAGTAGTAAAAATTGTGATTTGTAGCGATTTCATTGTGTAGACATCTTGTGACCACACATAAACTTCATGGGCTATTCGTTTGTATGAGGACAATTTTTTTTCGTTGTCGATTGTTATATATCAAAAAAAAAAAAAAAAATGAAATGAAATTCGATTATAAAAGCTTAAATCATTAAAACCAGTCAAAACCAAATCCATAGATATATTAGAAAGTAAACATCCATCATCATCTATGGTCAAGAGACACACACACACACAAAAACAGACTTCATAATAAAGAGGAAAGAAAGAAACAAAAATCTATTAACTAAATTCACAGGCTGAATTGCATGGTTTTGATAATCGGACGATATTTTCAACAAAAACACACGCACAGTAGTGAATGGATATAATGAAATATAAATTGAAATACATCAACTGAATCATGGCAATGCATTTTGCAAATGGCTATTTTGTTTGTCTTGTTTCTGGAACGAAGAAAAAAAAAATTTTCTTTTTCGCTTTGGAATAAACCCACACATATCAGAGAAAGATTGTCAATAACAAGAAACAACAAAAAACCATAAACATAAACATGAAGCTGGTTTAGTCAATTATTTTTTCAAAGTTTTCAGCACATTACCCGAGGAAACAAATATAAAGAAGCAAAAGCTTTTATGTTAAGGGTAACAAACACACACACACACACACACATTTACATTCACAATTCAATTGAATCTATTTCGACAAAATCCACATAAACAAAAATGATTAACTCATTTTGAGCTATATATAATATATAAAACATTGAATGAAAATATATATGGTGTTCTGGAATAAAAGAAAATTTTCGATTCTACCCATCAAGTAGCCATTCGCATGGAAATCCACTATTTTTTTCAAGCAACAAACTACGATGACAACAACAACAACAAACTTGAAAAAATAATTAGATTATATATAAAAATAGTCTTCAACAACAACAATCGAAATGATAGCATTGTAAACAGCATGCAAACAAACCAGTAATATGATATCAAGGTTTTTTCTGGATCAATTAATCGATTAAAATATTGACCAAATATTTATAAACCAATCTCGAATTGAGAGAAAAAGAATTTATTTTATCAAAAAAAAAAAAAAAAAAAAAAATAGTGGTGTGCATTATTTATTACTGTTATTACCGTTGAAAGGTGAGATAACCAAATTCAACAAAATATATGCAAATCCGTAACGAATATGAAATTCTAGAATATCATTTTTCCTCTCTCTCTCTCTCTTCGTACTGAAATGCACAATTGAATTTTTGATTGATGATGAATCAACTTTTGTATAATCATCATCATAATTATAAATGAAATCGTACGGATGGTCTTGATGAAAATGAAATGAAATTATGGAAAAAATATGATGACGCATTGAAAGCCATGATCAATGATATTAATGTGAATGAATTGTTTGATGATAATAATGGCGATGACGATATGGATCGAAATGAATCTGATGCTGATGACGATGATGATAGTGTTCATAGTAGTCAACTCGATGATGATGATGATAGCCACGATTCGTCTAGTGAATCCGATGCAGAAATTGAGAATGAAATGGAAAAATTGCGTCGTAAATTAAAAGACTTGTCTTTGAAAAAGAAGAATAAACGTAAAAGTCGCTCGAAATCAGATGTGAATAATGGTACACCAATTTACAGAATCATTAATTCAATCAAGCCATTTAAGGATAACGTTGCTGAATGGCCAGCATTCAAACGTCGTGTTGAATCGCTGATAATTGATCGTAAAAACGAATCGGAGTGTTCAAAACGAGCATTCATATCCGGAATTGTCAAAGGAGCAACGATAAAAAAAATAGAATATATGACAAGTTTATTCAAAACATAACCAATGATTATATTATGTTATTATGTGTGTGACAAATTCATGATTTTAAACAAGAATCGCTCGTATTGAGAATAGTTTTACTGTAAAAAAACAAAAATTATTATTATTAGTGAAAACCGGTTCACAAATGACGAATTTTTCAAGTTCAATGCACGAAACTTGTGATTAAATCAATTTTGTTGTTGTTGTTTTTTTGTCTTTTTTTTTACCTAACTAATCACAACTACTAACTGACCTGCCAACCACAAAATCTCAATCAATGAGAAAAAGAATAATGACTACGGAAACAATCAAAATAATTCTTAATCTATTATTATCTAAAAAAAACATTGATTTTGAATCAAGATAAATACGGAAGAATTTTTATGATGAAGGCTCGATGGTCTTTATAGCTTGTTATAAAAAAAATTATCCAATAAAGGAAAAAAAACAAGCTTTGCGTGGGAGTCTGGTAATGTTTTGGAAGCGCTGTATTCTCTATCATAGTGATGTATTCAACTTTTTTTTCTAGCCCAATGATCGGGCAATTGATGTGGAATCTAGTTTATCAAAGGACAGGTTTATTCGAAGATTAAGTAAATAAAACACATAATTTTCGATTTTTTTTATCTCATTGTAGAAATCAATAAACGAAACGAAAAAATAATTGATCATCAAATACGATATAATGGTAATGATAGAATTACTCTTAGAAATGAAATAAAATCCTCGGGATCAAAATTTGTTCAAATAAATTTGATCATCAAATTTATATAAAATGCATTGTATTTTTCGAGTATGTTCTTCTAATGATCGATGGAACAACATACCAATAAAATGGAACACAATAGGTTTTTGTTATCATTTAATATTTTTTTTTCATTTCGTTTTTCAAGGAAAAAATTAACGCCGAAATGAAATTGGACCAATTGATTTGTTGTTTTACTACGAATGGTGGTGATCTAATCATCATCATCATTGTTATTATTATTATTATTATCAATCAAACAACAAAAAACAATTATGCAGAGACATACAAGAAACATTTAGATAAAGAAGCATCACATGTGGAGCAAATCAAAATTTTCATTTCATTTCTCTGATAGTCTATATGGAACAATGTTGTTGTTGGCCCAATGATCGGTTGCTCAATCCTTACGTAATGGTTATGATGATGAAAATGTTTTTTCTTTACTTTCAAAAGGGTGGAGTAACTTTATAGAATGCGGTGTGTGTCTATGTGTGTGTAATTGTACGTATGATGGCGGCGATGATGATGATGATGATGATGATTCAAATGACTGGCCTGTCATTGTCGTCTCTATTGTTATTATCATCACCAACAATCATTATGATTATCGAAAATGATGACCGTATATACAAAACACAACACTCGTTGCACACGAACGGACACGGATACAAAAAAACAAAGCAAAAAAAAATAGATCTACCAATGTAATGTTACACAAAGGTAATAAAGTGAAAATAAAAACGAAAAATAAAAAATCTCAAACACAATATATATGCACATCAAACAAAAAAGAGGAAGGAGAAAAAAATTTGGTTAATTTTGTCGATAATGATGATGATGATAATGATACTGTTATTTTTCCGTTGACCATCATCATCATTAGATCATTATCCATAAAATCAATGAAATTTAGTAAATCGATTGATAATCGAATAAACAACAAATATCAATCAATCTATCTACAATAGAAATTTCTTTAGATAAAAAATACAGAATCTATAAACAAACAAACAAATGTCCAGTGATATTATATGAATGAATGAGAAACAAATAAACAAATAGAAAATGATCATCTAGATTCTAGAATGTTCAGACCAAAATCTAAAACACATTATTTTTTTCTATCGATCGATCTCTTATTACAAACACAAACAAATTGCACAGATTTAGTAAATCGCCAAAATTTGATAATAGAATCATAAATCGTATCATACGATCGCATAACGATATAACGTCTAGAATTTTTTTTCTTCGTTGTTGTTTTTTCTCGCTATGCACACACACACACACACACACACACACTAACTTGACACATATAGATTTATCATCACACTATATATAAAGATCATTATAATATTCATCATAGATCATTACATTTGACATAATGTAAAATCAATGGTTTTTTTTCAATATTCAACAAAAGAGTGAGCAAAACAAAACAGAAAATTAATGATTGCTACCAGTTTCAACACAAAAAAAATCATTATAAAAATTTTAATTATATAATACGAATAGAAATGGATGTTGTTGTTGTTTTTCTTAAAAAACAACAATCAAAATTTACGAATCGATTTACGAATGAGGGAAAAACCCACACATAAATACAAACACACAAACATGATTGACCAACATTTTGGAAATTACAAAACAAGATTGCATTTGATAATTGAAAACCAAACACAAAAACACTAAAACTCAAATTGTCCAGTTTTGTGAATGTTTTTATTTTTGTTGCCCTAAACATGTCAGAGCATTCCATTCATTTTTATTACAATTTAATGATAATGATGTATCATCATCAGGAAGAAAAAGGGCAAAAATTAATTACGATCATTTCAATTATACACACACACACACACAGTTCTTGTGTTGTGAACGTAAAAATGAATAAATAATTTCTTTTTTAATTTTATTCTCATCAACATCATCATGAATTTCAATTCAAAATTTTTTTCTGGTTCAAAACACTAACCAATCGAATAAATGAAGGAAGAAAAAAAATAATCGATTGAATGATCGATGTTCATCGAGGAGAACGAACCAAAAAAAAAAAAAAAAACGAAACCTCAACTACGTCTGATGATGAGTTAACGAATTAGTTATATATATCATTTGTATGTATGTGAATATATTCACTTCTCGACCTATACACTCGGTTTAAATTTGAAAAATTCAATATAAAAATCAAAACACAGGTCCTCGTTTGGTTGAATAGAGATAGAGGGCAACCGAATAATAATAACTGATCATCATCAGCTATAATAAAAATAAATTGAATGGAAAATGGATATTTTTTTTGAGGCGATTACAATTTCTTCCATTGATGATGATCATCATCTTCTTCATTGTAATTGTAAATTTAACTGACCGGAAATTCAAAAAAAAAAAAAAAAATTCTAAGCCGAATGATCGGTCATTAAACATTTATGATAATTTCTTGAACAAGAAAAAAAAATGATAGATTTCTTACCTGAATTTATTGAAGATATTTTATTATTATAGAGGTATTTTGTTGTTTGATTTATTTTCATTGAAATAATTATTTATTATTAATCAATGAATCACTTAAATTAGGTTGTTGTTGTTGAAAATCAAAGATTGGTAGAAAAGCACCGGAAACAAAAATAAAACATTGAGAATTATTCCGGAAATTGAAAGAGAAAAGAATTTGATTTACAGTGAGAGCAAATCTAAAGCTGCCAAATAATTACAATGTTGATGTTGTTGGAACGAAGAAAACACACACACACACATACAGGGCGACACACATACGCATACACTTAATCAAAGACACTTAGGATCAATATTGAGAGCCAATTAAAATGGATGTTGTTGTTGTTTTTTTTGGAACACTAAAATGAACATTGAAACAGCATGTCGACGTGATAATAATTTCAAGATGGACGACAATCAAAGCTATATTATATGTGTTGAATAATTATATGATGATGATAGATGTAATAACAAAAAACAACAACGAAAATTCGTAGACACAACAACAACAATCCACCATTCAATCGAATTGATGTGATGAGCACGTACAGGGGAGGATAGGCCAATCGACGAAAAAATCTAATCAGTAAAGGGTTATATGGACACAATCAGAATTATACGTTTCAAAATTAATTCAATCAGCTTTTGTTGTTGAATCAGATTGAATGAAAAATAATCAAAATTTTCACTTGGTGAATGATTATTATTATTATTATTATTATTTTCGATTCGATGGATAAGAAGAAAGAATTTCAATTTTCTAAATTCTATTTTTGTTTGGAATTAACTTTTAGAAGCTGCTTTTTTTTCTTGCTGTTTTTGTCAAACTTGGTGGGATATGACGTTTTCAAAAAATCGATCCAAAATAAATGAACAGAGACTTTTTACAATTGTTGTTGTTGTTGATGATGATGATGATTATAATGTAGAAAAATTGGGTCACAAATAAAAGAAAAACACATAAAACAAACGAAATTGAATCGTATGAAACACATAATGAAATATAGCTGCCTAGAATAAGAAGATTCTTGATTTCAAATCAAAATCCCCTCCATTAAATTAAAAATAAAACAAAACAAAAAAAAACAACGTTGTTTTTATTGTCATGGATCGAATCTTGAGATTCGAATGTCGTTGATGAGAATCACATATGGAGAACAAACAAACAGACTTTTTTTTCTATTTCAGTTGACGATTATGATTATGATGAAAATTGAAGGAAAAAAAAACTTTACCATTGATGAATTCGGATTGTATGTATGATCAAAGAAAGCTTGTTAAACATTTAATCAAATTGCTAATTGATTGATTGATTGATTGGATTAATTAAACGATTGATGATGATGATGAAAAGAAAAACAAATTTTTGATATTGCAATTTTGTGCAGTCGTTGTCGATGGTGATAAATAAAAATGTAGATCATTAACATTTAAAATTTAATCCAAAATGTATTGATTATTGAAATTGAATATCGGTATTGAACATCATCATCATCATCCATGTTGATGAGATTTCCTATATGGAGAAAATTAAAGAAAAAAAAACATGAATATGAGTATTGTGTAGCATTGAGGAAGTTTAAAAAATTATTATATTTCCATAAAAAAAACCATTTGTGTCACTGAAGATGTGTGTGTGTGTATGTAAAATGTAAAACTAAACGAAAAAAAACTATTATCTAGGAAAAGAGATATCAGGCAATAACACATATTCAAATGTTGATTCATGTATTTGACTAACGTCACATCACAGTACATTTAAATTATTTGATGTAAA